TACGCGGCTGGGCCTATTAACCGTGGGCTTAATAACCGGCGACTGCTGTATACGATTCTCGAGTCGCACCAAGATGTGCCTTCAGGAGATAAACGGGACGGCTGTGGTTAAGCGGAAACCACACTTTTCGCCCATAATTCCCAGTGTCCTGTCTACCGAAAAGTGTTTTTTTTTCTCCCATAACCCGTCCCTCTTCTTCTTTCTACCCTTAGGTCAACACGTATATGGATTTGGAAATGATGTTTGCCTGTGCTTCCAACCCTGCAGTGAAGAAGAGCTTGAAAACATTAAGCAAGCGGAGGATAATAATGCTGCGGAAGGAGCTCCATCCGACGCAGTGACAAACCACACCGGAGAATCTTCGGTTTCAGCGCACTCTGCGGCTTCAAACAACCTCGATTCTGAGAAACCTGAGGAGAAAGAGGAGGAGGAGGAGGAGGAGGAGGAGGAGGAAGAGGAAAGGGATAAGTCTACCATACTCCCTGATTCGGTAAGTGGCATTTGTGACTAGCACACAGACGCACACCCTACTTTCTCAGTTACTCCACTTCACTTGAGAGAGAGAGAGAGAGAGAGAGCAAAGTTTGAGAGAGAGAGTGGACGGTTGGGGTTCATTATACCCATTGACGCTCCGGTTCGGCCCATTATCTGGGTAATCAGAGATCGCAACCTCTAAGAACCAATAACACACCAGAATACTCGGTCGTACTAGACTCGCCTCTCAAGCAGTGCGATGAGACGGCGGTTTGACCCGCTGATTGAAACTCTAGACGCTAATCTGTCTGGGCTCGTAAGATTTAGTCAGCGAAAGGGCTGAACCTGTTTAGGCCAAAGAGCCAGCTTTTGGACAGTACTCGCAGAAGCCTCTTCTCAGCTGGGTCCCTTTTTTACCGGGCAGTACCAATGGTTATGGGTGTCGTACAACTTATTTTCTCTCCCTCGATTGGACGGCCCATTTAGTAGCTTGGATGTTGGTGAATAGGTGTTTTTCTGTGGCACCTCAATGTAGCTTCGGCCTCCGGCAGAGCAAGTGATAATTCCAATACTGTCATTGTCCAGCGTTGCGCAATGTGTCCTATTCTTATTCGTCCTCTTATCTTTCGTTCTTTTAAATCTTTTTTCGTGTTTTTTTAAAAATATTTATTCTGTTCGTATAAACTGGAAAACATGCATCCCAAAACATTTTTATTTGAAGAAAATGATGTTCTTGGGGATATAAAGGTAACTTTAATCACTGCATTTTCGAGACTGGTTCCCTAGCTCGTCTTCGGGCTAAAAAGAACAACTCAACCATTCCCGGACTTCAATTCACGCTCGAGAAGGAGATTGGCAATAAACTACCAGTTCTAGATGTTCTCGTAACGCGCAAACGCAGACGGAACATTACGAGCATCCGTTTACCACAAAGACACATATGCGGAAATTATTCTCCACTATGAGAGCAACATACCCAACAGCGCCTTCCCGGACATCCAATTTACGATGGAGGAGGAAGAGAACAACTGGCTGGCCTTTCTTGATGTCCTCGTCTGTTGCAAAAATTGTGGTGGTGTAAAGACTAAAGTATTCAGGAAAGCGACAAACACGATGCAAGTACTGAATTGCAACAGCAACCACCCAATCAGCCACAAACGCAGTTGCGTAAGGACGCTCTATAGGCGTGTTGAGACGCACTGCAGCGAACCAGAAGACAAAGTTGCCGAAGTGCAATATCTCGACTGGTGTTCAGAGAAAATGGCTACCCGCGCAACTTCGTCAACCGGTGCTTGCGTACACGAGATGGCCAACAAAATCACACCAACCCCAAAATTTGGCGAGCGATTCCGTACGTCAAAACGTCTCAGAGCCTGTCGGTCGCCTTCTCGCACCACTTGGAGTTTGAGTCGCACACAAGCCGGAGGCG